CATGTAATGTACATTTAATAACAATATCATTATTACCATATCTACATTAGATATAATATAATATACTGGTTAATACCCACAGATCAATGTACATTTAAAAACAATATCATTATTACCGTATCTACATTAGATATAATGTAATATACTGATTCCTTGCCACAGATAAATGTACATTTAATAATAACATCATTAGTACTATGTCTACATTCGATATGTAATGTACAATTGATAACAATATAATTATTACCATATATACATTAGATATAATGTAATATACTGATTCCTTCCCACAGATCAATGTACATTTAATAACAATATCATTAGTACTATATCTACATTAGATATGTAATGTACATTTAAAAACAATATCAATATTACCATATCTACAATAGATATAATGTAATACACTGATTCCTTCCCACAGATCAATGTACATTTAATAACAATATCATTATTACCATATCCACATTCGATATAATGTAATATACCGATTAATTCCCACAGATCAATGTACATTTACTAACAATATCATTATTACCATATCTACATTAGATAAAATGTAATATACAGATCCATTCCCACAGATCAATGTACATTTAATAACAATATCATTGGTACTATATCTACATTCGATATGTAATGTACATTTAATAACAATATCATTATTACCATATCTACATTAGATATAATATAATATACTGATTAATACCCACAGATCAATGTACATTTAAAAACAGTATCATTATTACCATATCTACATTAGATATAATGTAATATACTGATTCCTTGCCACAGATAAATGTACATTTAATAATAATATCATGAGTACTATGTCTACATTCGATATGTAATGTACAATTAATAACAATATAAGTATCACCATATATACATTAGATATAATGAAATATACTGATTCCTGCGCACAGATCAATGTACATGTAATATCAGTATCATTAGTACTATATCTACATTACATATGTAATGTACATTTAAAAACAATATCATTATTACCATATCTCCATTAGATATAATGTAATAAACTGATTCCTTCCCACAGATCAATGCACATTTAATAACAATATCATTGGTACTATATCTACATTCGATATGTAATGTACATTTAAAAACAATATCATTATTACCGTATCTACATTAGATATAATGTAATATACTGATTCCTTGCCACAGATAAATGTACATTTAATAACAATATCATTATTACCATATCTTTTTTTTTTTTTTTTTTTTTTTTTACGAGGGGGAAAAATGCCTTACGCACACCGAGTTAGATGTTCCCTCGGTAGTGTGGGGCTGTTATCCCGTAACTTACCCACTAAAAAACCCACCTCGATTTCACGTCATGATGCCGGTCGCGGACCACGCCCCCGGAACCGCTGTTGAGCATTACTTCGGGGGCGGGGCGACGTAATAGCGGCTGTTACCTGGTTGGTGCCTCTCCACTTACAGGTGATACCCAGCCCGTGGGAATCTCATTACACTAGGTCAGGTTTTTTAAAATTGGAGGTTGTACCGTCAGTTTGTCGTTACAATCAGTTTTAAACATCTTATGCTGTCGCTTGCGTCAAGTTCGTAAATTGATAAAACGAATAAATATATAAATAAATAAACGAATAAAATATATTTGTTAACTAATATTAAAACCAGGGCCTCGATTCACGAGGTGACAGTCACTAACAGTTTGTATCAAACTTATTCAGGGTTACCTACTTGGTCTCTGTAATTCCGTGTGTCCATGAGAACAAATAAACATCTTATACTGGACCTCTCAACCTCGACAACCTCTCGGTTTCCAATAGATCAAGTGCACATCCATCACTTCTTTCCTTTTCCATTTATTTATTGCTCTTTTCTATTGGATTAGATTTTTGTTCTTCTTCATTCTTCTTCATCCTCTTGATATATCGCTTGCTGTTGTTGCTGTCGCTGCTCTTTTCCTGGCCCTTTCAAGCTCTACTTTTTCCTTCAGTGTCCCTTTTATGAACGCCAGCACTTCGTTCCTGGTCTCCTCCTTCCTTAGCAAATCCATCAGATTCTCTTTACAGAAGTCGACCTGCAATGTGGTGTCCAGATTATTCCTTTCCGACGCCCACCTGTCACACTCGAATAAAAAGTGTGCCGGGTCGTCCACCCTTCCTGGGCAGAACCAGCAACTATCCGAATCTTGTTTTCTTATCTTGTTTAAAAATGCCCCAAAACATCCGTGCCCTGTCAGTACCTGGGTTAAATGAAAATTTAAGATGTTGGGGCCCCAGGTTAGCCAGTCAGAGATTTTTGGTATCAGCTCAAACGTCCACCTACCCTTGTCCGAACTCTCCCACCTTTCCTGCCATACACTCACGGTGTAGGCCCGGGCATCTATTCTCCGTCTGCCTGTAGCACCCTCTTCTTCGTCTTCAATTTCCAGGCTTGTTCTCTTATTGAAGAGGTATTCTCTTTCTTTCACAATGAGATCTAAAGGAACCTGCCCTGTCAATACGCATAATGCGTCCGCCGAGACCGTCCTATACGCATGTGCTACCCGTATTAGTGCTATCCGTTGTGTGCTGGTTAGAACGCCTACATTACCTTTGTTGCTCAATCCTATTGCCCAGATCGGTGCTGCATATAAGATTACTGATTCAATAACCTTGTAATACAGCTTCCTGGCCGTCTTACCTGCACCGTGCGTGTTTGGCATCAGTAGTGCCAGTGCATTGGCATACTTTAGTGCCTTGTTACATACCGAAATCATGTGTCTTTTGAATGTGCTGTTCATTTCTAGGGTAACTCCTAGATATCTTGCCTCTTTGGCCGTCTTAACTTCTGCTTGCCCGCACTTTATTTTCATCCCCCCGGTTACCTTTCTGCCTGTTAGGAGGATGGCCTCTGTCTTTTGGTGTGCCAGGCTGAGCCCTTCCTTCTCATACCAGGCTGCCATATCTCGTATAGTCAGTTCCACGACTCTCTTCATGTTCTCGAGATCGCGGTCGACTGCTATCACCCCTATGTCGTCGGCATATCCGACCAGATGTACGTTTTTCCTGGTATTCATCCTCAGCAGTTCATCATATACCAAATTCCAGAGAAGCGGGCCTATCACTGATCCCTGTGGTACCCCTCCGAATACTTGATATCGCGTTTCGATGTCTTTTCCGCTGTAGACGATCCATCGATCCTGCAGGTAGCTGCGCACAATGTCAATCAGTTCTGCCGGGAATCCTCGTTCTTTCAAGTTCCGCATAATACTATCCCACCTCACAGTATTAAACGCATTCTTGACATCCAGCAATACCAACAGGCAGTGGCGCCTATACTCTCTTGCGTTCTGGTAGTGTTCCATAACCAGTTTCATCGTATTAAGGGTGGACCTCCCCTTGCGAAACCCAAACTGGTTTGGAGCGAAGTCGTTACACTTAAGGGCCAATAACAACTTATCCTTTACCGCGTGCTCAAACATCTTCGCTATGCATGAGATAATTGTTATCGGTCTATAGGCCTTTTCAGAGGCGGTGGTCGCTTTACCTTTTGGCAAAAGCACCAGTCTACCGGTTTTCCATGCGGTAGGCCAGTATCCTCTCCTATAGCATACGTTGAAAATATATGCCAGCCATCTTGGCGCCTTTAGGCCTATCTTTTTTGCGGCTGCCGACGTGATTCCGTCCGGCCCTGCAGCCTTTTTTGCCGACAATTTCATCGCTATTTTGACAATGTCATCCTGCGTAAAAAACACACGGTATGGTGAGGGTGAGGGTTCCCGTTGGTCCCGGCTTCCATCGTGCACTTCTTCCGCCATGCTACCGTCTGCCTCCTTTGGCGTATCATCCAGACTCGGCTTTAGAATAAACAGCTTGGACACTACCGTGTCCACCTCTTCGGGGGATAAGGAAGCTGGTTTAGTTATTTTGCCCTTAATTGTCCTCATTATCAATTTGTAGGGCCTTCCCCAGATGTCCGCGTCTACCTCCTGCAGCAATTCAGCCCAATTGTCTTTTTTGGCCTTTCTTATCTCCTTGTTAAGGTCCTGTTTGCACCTCTTATACGCCTTGGTCGACTTTTCTATGGCTTCTTGGTCCGTTCCTGCTTTGTCTCTCGTTAGCTTTCTTCTGGCTTTTTGTGCTAACGCTCTTTTCTCCCTTATCTCGGCGTTCCACCAGGGTACTGGCATGCGTTTATCCTGCAAGCCATTATACCTGGTGTAACGCTTTACCATTCTGTTCATATCTTCCAGGAACTTATCCACCTCAAAGGTGGTGTGCGTGCGTGGGCGCCTTTCAAAGTTCTCATCGCCATACTTCTTTAGAAAGGCTTCTAGAAACCCTTTTTCGTCCAACTTTCCTTTCTTTAAATCGAACAGTGATGCTCTTTCTCCTTGTCTCTGCTTCGTTTGAAACGTGTGTAAAAGGTATTTGTGGTCTGATGCCGAGAAATCCTCCACCACCATCGTTTCCGCCAAGCAATGTAATGCCCTTTTGTTGCATGTCATGATGTCGATTTTTGTGCCCCTTCCCCGATCACACGTAGCCCCTCCCTTCGTGATTGTAGGAAAGAGGTCCACCGTGTTACAAAACTGGAAGAGCTTTCTCCCCCGGCTACACCACTTATCCGCACCCCATAATGGGGATTTCGCGTTAAAGTCTCCCATAATGACAATCTCCTCTGAGCTGTTTTTTAGTGTATTAATTTCGTATGCCAGCGAGTCCAGCAATGCCTCGTAGCCTTGTACCGAATCATTTGGTGACGCATACACGCTAATTATATACATACTATTATACTTTATGATGACGTAGCCGTTCCCACTTTTGACTAGAGAGATATTCTTTCCATCAGCTATCCCCCTGGCGGTTATTAACGTTGACGCTCTGCCTGTGTTATCTACAAACCAGTTTTCGGGCACTCGATATGGTTCAGATACTACCACTACGTCTACATTATATTTGTCCGTAGTGGTTATTAGCAAGTCATGAGCAGTTCTGCAATGGTTCAAATTTATTTGCAATATTTTAATTTTGCCTTTTACCTTTCAGGGCCTCCTTGTACCTGTGGCACCTCACCGACGCTGCTACGTGTCCGACCATCTCCTCCGGTAATTTATCGGCTACACACAGCCGACATCTAGGTGCATTTTTGCACTCCCTCATCTGGTGTCCTCGATCACCGCATTTCCTGCAGAAGCCATCCCCTTCCTTGTTACTTTTGCAGTTGACAGCCACATGTCCTAGTTCGTGGCAGCGGAAACAGCGAAGGAGACGCGGGATCTCTTTCACCGGGACAATAGTCCATCCTATCTTAATCTTACCCTTTCTGATCAACTTTGTCATGTCGGCCGCGGGGCCCTCGATTACAGCAATCTTGTTTTGCCTAGGATCGACCCGTAGGACCTTTATCCTGGTGTCCAAAGCCTCATGTCCCATTTCCCTTTTTAGTGCCTCTACAATATCCGTTTTTTCCGCGGCGGGGTCTATTCCTCTCAGCTCCACGTCTATTTTTTGCTGTAGCCTAGCTACCTCCACATCCGGCCCTAGCTTCCCGTCTATACTCTTTTTAAAGCTCTCCAGGTCAGCCCCGGGAGTAAATTCTATCAGCAAATTTCCCGCCCTGGTCTGTTTGACGGTTTTCACCCCCTCGGGAGAGGAGCCAGCGGCCCCTTTAACCCTCTTCAGTATGGCAGCGAATGTCATTTCCTTGCCAAACCTAACCGCTATTGCCTGTGGTTTCATGGATCTAGGTCTTCTGTTAGGTGTGCCCTTCCCTTCCGCTCCACTCCCCTTCGTCTTCGCGCCCGTCTTTTCTCCGGCCTCTTCTATTTTATCTTTCTTCCTCTCTGTGTCCATCCTTTTCCTCCTAGCTTGAACTACTTCCCACTCCTGGTCATTAGTCCTCTCCTCCTTTTTGGGGTCTCCCTCTCCCCCTTCCTCTTCCTTGTATCTTCATCCGGCGTTCCTTCTGTACTTGAAAGGAGAAACCTCTTCTTCTTTCCCACTTTTTCCATGGGCGGTGTAATCTCCTTCCTCTTCTGTCTTATGACCGGCAGAGGTGGGAACTCCCTATCCGACCCCCCAGCCGTCTGTGTCGCCATGTTTTTATAGTTTTTTCTGTTTTCTTTTCTAGGTGCGCCATGGGTCGTCCCCTTCGATTCCTCCGCGGAGTCCGTTTCCTCGTCTTCGCTGGTAAGTATATTTACATTCTTTCTTTTACTTTCCCTCGCTTCTAGATTATATGCAGTATGCTCTTCTCTCATTCCATCCACTGCATCGGACACCTCCTCTAGACAGCATCCCATAGCTATATATGCGTCTCTTATTTCCGGGGTCACACTCCCCCTCTTCAGCATATATTCCTTTATCACCAGATTGTGCCGTTTGATCATCTCTAGCATTTTAGCAATTGTTCTAATGCTAAGGTCTAACTTCTCCCCTATTGTCAGTACCCTCTTATTGGACATCTTGCTCACTACCTTGTCCTTACCTTTCATTTCCAATTTCTGGGGGTTGACTTCGCCCTCGTCACCGGTGAGATCCACCGAATCCATACGTCCAAACGGGTTTTCCACATCCCTGAATGTACCTGGTGGAGATCGCGATACCCTTGGCTTCTTGGAAAAGACATCCTCCTTCCCAATAGCGCCCAACCACGCGTCCATATCATCGCCAGTAGCCTTTACTATCACAGCGGCCTGGCGGTCTGCCGTCTGTGATGCACAGTCGCTAGATAACGACACGGTGGAGCCTGCACACACACCCCCAACCGCGCCGATACTGGAGCTACCGATTTCTCCTGCACCGTAACTTTTAAGTTTATTCTTTGTGTTATTCATAATTGTAATTGTTTTGTTAGAATAGTCCATTTCCGTTGTCGTAGTCGTTTTATTTATGATCCGTCCTGTACAACACAGCGGGTTATTACCAGCCGCCGCAACACGACAGTCGGGGTATACTGTCCATTTGTGTTTGGTCCGCGGGAACTATTTCGCTCCTACCCTCCAAGCACTCCGAAAAGTGCCCGGCGAGCATTCCCCTATCCGCCACCTGGGGACGCGCCACGTCGGGGTATCACCTCCCCGCCTATCCTGGACAACCAGGTAGGTTCGTGGATTATTACCATATCTACATTCGATATAATGTAATATACGGATTAATTCCCACAGATCAATGTACATTTAATAACAATATCATTAGTACTATATCTACAGTAGATATGTAATGTACATTTAAAAACAATATCAATATTACCATATCTACAAAAGATATAATGTAATATACAGATCCATTCCCACAGATCAATGTACATTTAATAACAATATCATTAGTACTATATCTACACTGGATATGTAATGTACATCCAAAAACAATATCATTATTACCATATTTACATTAGATATCAAGTAATAAACTGATTCCTTCCCACAGATCAATGCACATTTAATAACAATATCATTAGTACTATATCTACATTAGATATAATGTAATATACAGATCCATTCCCACAGATCAATGTACATTTAATAACAATATCATTAGTACTATATCTACATTAGATATGTAATGTACAATTAAGAACAATATTATTATTACCATATCTACATTCGATATAATGTACTATATTGAGTCATTCCCACAGATCAATGTACATTTAAAAACAATATCAATATTACCATATCTGCAGTAGATACAATGTAATACCCTGACTCCTTCCCACAGATCAATGTACATTTAATAACAATACCATGAGAACTACATCTACATTAGATATGTAATGTGCATTTAAAAACAATATCATTATTACCATATCTACATTAGATATAATGTAATATACTGATTCCTTCCCACAGATCTATGTACACTTAATAAGAATATCAGTGGTACTATATCTACATTAGATATAATGTAATATACAGATCCATTCCCACAGATCAATGTACATTTAATAACAATATCATTATTACCATATCTACATTAGATATAATGTAATATGCTGATTCCTTCCCACAGATCAATGTACATTTAATAACAACATCATTACTACTATATCTACATTCGATATAATGTAATATATTGATTCATTCCCACAGATCAATGTACATTTAATAACAATATCATTCTTACCATATCTACATTAGATATAATGTAATATACTGATTCCTTCCCACAGATCAATGTACATTTAATAACAATATCACTGGTACTATATCTACATTAGATATAATGTAATATACAGATCCATTCCCACGGATCAATGTACATTTAATAACAATATCATTATTACCATATCTACATTAGATATAATGTAATACCCTGACCCTTCCCACAGATCAATGTACATTTAAAAACAATATCAATATTACCATATCTGCAGTAGATACAATGTAATACCCTGACTCCTTCCCACAGATCAATGTTCATTTAATAACAATACCATGAGAACTACATCTACATTAGATATGTAATGTGCATTTAAAAACAATATCATTATTACCATATCTACATTAGATATAATGTAATATACTGATTCCTTCCCACAGATCTATGTACACGTAATATGAATATCAGTGGTACTATATCTACATTTGATATAATGTAATATACAGATCCATTCCCACAGATCAATGTACATTTAATAACAATATCATTATTACCATATCTACAATAGATATAATGTAATAAACTGATTCCTTCCCACAGATCAATGCACATTTAATAACAATATCATTGGTACCATATCTACATTCGATATGTAATGTACATTTAACAACAATATCATTATTACCATATCTACAATAGATATAATGTAATATACAGATCCATTCCCACAGATCAATGTGCATTTAATAACAATATCATTGGTACTATATCTACATTCGATATGTAATGTACATTTAATAACAATATCATTATTACCATATCTACATTAGATATAATATAATATACTGATTAATACCCACAGATCAATGTACATTTAAAAACAGTATCATTATTACCATATCTACATTAGATATAATGTAATATACTGATTCCTTGCCACAGATAAATGTACATTTAATAATAATATCATGAGTACTATGTCTACATTCGATATGTAATGTACAATTAATAACAATATAAGTATCACCATATATACATTAGATATAATGTAATATACTGATTCCTTCGCACAGATCAATGTACATTTAATATCAGTATCATTAGTACTATATCTACATTAGATATGTAATGTACATTTAAAAACAATATCATTATTACCATATCTCCATTAGATATAATGTAATAAACTGATTCCTTCCCACAGATCAATGCACATTTAATAACAATATCATTGGTACTATATCTACATTCGATATGTAATGTACATTTAACAACAATATCATTATTACCATATCTACAATAGATATAATGTAATATACAGATCCATTCCCACAGATCAATGTGCATTTAATAACAATATCATTGGTACTATATCTACATTCGATATGTAATGTACATTTAATAACAATATCATTATTACCATATCTACATTAGATATAATATAATATACTGATTAATACCCACAGATCAATGTACATTTAAAAACAGTATCATTATTACCATATCTACATTAGATATAATGTAATATACTGATTCCTTGCCACAGATAAATGTACATTTAATAATAATATCATGAGTACTATGTCTACATTCGATATGTAATGTACAATTAATAACAATATAAGTATCACCATATATACATTAGATATAATGTAATATACTGATTCCTTCGCACAGATCAATGTACATTTAATATCAGTATCATTAGTACTATATCTACATTAGATATGTAATGTACATTTAAAAACAATATCATTATTACCATATCTCCATTAGATATAATGTAATAAACTGATTCCTTCCCACAGATCAATGCACATTTAATAACAATATCATTGGTACTATATCTACATTCGATATGTAATGTACATTTAACAACAATATCATTATTACCATATCTACATTAGATATAATATAATATACTGATTCCCTCCCACAGATCAATTTACATTTAATAACAATATCATTAGTACTATATCTACAATCGATATAATGTAATATACTGATTCATTCCCACAAATCAATTTACATTTAATAACAATATCATTAGTCCTATATCTACATTCGATATAATGTAATACACGGATTCATTCCCACAGATCAATGTGCATTTAATAACAATATCATTGGTACTATATCTACATGGAATATAATGTAATATACTGATTCCTTCCCACACATCAATGTACATTTAATAACAATATCATTGGTACTATATCTACATTGAATATAATGTAATATGCTGATTCATTGCCACAGATCAATGTACATTTAATAACAGTATCATTAGTACTATATCTACAGTAGATATGTAATATACATTTACAAACAATGCCAGTATTATTATATCTCCGTTGGACATAATGTAATAGACTGATTGCTTCCCACAGATCAATGTACAATTAATAACAATATCATTAGTACTATATCTACATTCGATATAATGAAATATACTTATTCGTTCCCACAGATCAATGTACATTTAATAACAATATCATTCGTAATATATCTACATTCGATATAATGAAATATACTTATTCGTTCCCACAGATCAATGTACATTTAATAACAATATCATTAGTACTATATCGACATTAGATATGTAATGTACATTTAAAAACAATACCATTATTGCCATATCTACATTAGATATAATATAATATACTGATTCATTACCACAGATCAATGTACATTTTATAACAATATCATTAGTACTATATCTACATTTGATATAATGTGATATACTGATTCAT